TGAAAAGCCACAACTAGCACACTTGAGGCGATATGGCTGCAGAGCTTACCCCTTGACACAAAACTACAAGAGAGGAATAGAAAAGTCAAACAAAACTGCGCCAAGAGCTCATATTGGCTATCTATGTGGTTATGACAGCACAAATATCTACAGAATCTGGATCCCAGCAATAGGAAAAGTCATGAGAACTAGAGACGTTACTTTCGACGAAAACACGCTGTATGATCCAAGGATTGAGGATACCAGCAAGTTAAGCCAAATGGAACTTGAATTCCAGTTCACAGAAATGGATATCCCATTCACAAATCCAATTGAACAAGACCTAGACACAGCTGGCTGGGATGGAGAAGATTTCAGCGATAATATTACCGGGCCACTACCCGCCTCGAATCCAGCCGCTCAAGAAACAACACCGGCAACACCGATGCAGGAGAAAGAATCAGGGGATTTTCAATTACCTACACCCACTTCTCTATCACCAACAGTACAGCTGTCAGATTCTCAAACAACTGAGGGGGTGAGGGAGACTCCAGAAACTCCAGAAGTATCGCCAACTCCAGAACAATCGGATCAAAGTGAGACCATAGAGGAAACCTCAACAGACCGACTCGAACTACAACAGACACCAGTCATAGAATTGGAACCAGAAGAAATCATACCACAAGATTCCTCCACAGTAATCCCAAACATAGCGAGAAGGGGAAGACCTCGTGGCAGCAGAAATCACAACATCTACAATCGATCAGCCCCTCTTGGTCAAACAAATCAACAGCCACCAGAAGCAACAAGATCATCACAAAGACTGAGAAGAGCAAGAGAATCCCACTTCACACTGCAATCTACGGATACAGTAAAAGGAAGAGATCAATGGGATGCATCAGCAGATGATTTAGGCAATCCACACCAAAAGACACTTCCACCAGTTCCAAAGAATTACAGTGAAGCGATCAAACACCAATACAGTCACAAATGGATTGCTGCAATGAATATTGAACATTTGATCGAGAAGAACGCAGTATGAATCTGGAATTTGGTAGTAAGTATACGGAGTTCTGAATAGTATCATTTCTGTATTTGAATGAGAATACAGAGAATCAACCTACAACAGGTTGCCTCTCTGAGGGGGTGTGTCACACGGACCACTGCATATATCGGGGCATGCATTCAACCCATGCACCCGGCTATTGTTTCCCATATAAAACTAACGGGGATGTCATTTTGTGCATGAAAACCTTCAAATCGGTAATTACCGAATAGACGGTTATATAATCAACCCAATAACCCCTAGACAGTCTCTAATGAATGGAAGCATCTTTTTTTACCCCATAAGTGGTGGGCAAATTGACTGCGTGACACCAATCTTCAGATGAAGACCAGCCCGCCAAAAATTCTACGCATGACCAGCTGGCTCATTAGTCATTGCCAAAGCAAAGCAGAAAAAACTGAAGCGTGAGAAACACGAAAAAATTTGAGTTGTGTTGAGGATGGCCCGATTCGAACGGACAACCTTCTGGACTGGAATCAGATGCGCTACCGTTGCGCCACATCCCCTATTTGTTGAAACATTCTTGCGTCTGCCAACCTATGTAGCTAACCTTGCAACCAGGTAGCCCCACATTCACCCGCTGGTGGGGCATTTCCTCGCCAAGTTCAACCAAAATGTCCCTTTTGACCGTTCACACCGACCAAAGCTGCGGACAATCATATCCCCGGACCGCGCCTTCACCTCGGTGAACATACCGCGATCTCCAACATCGCATTTTCTAGCAAAAGCTAGCTATCCCGCCAGCCATCCAAACCACACCCTCCACCACAACCACTCCCGAACAACACTACAAAACCAAACACGACTCCAAAAACAAGTCAGACATTTAAACCGCCGATAAAAAAAACAAACCACCCAAACCCGTCAAAATGGACTACCAAAACCGCGCCGGCTCAAAGTTCGGCGGCGGCGGCGTCGCCTCGCAATCAGCAACCAACGCCGACCGTCGCGAACGACTCCGCAAACTCGCCCTCGAGACAATCGACCTCGACAAGGACCCCTATTTCTTCAAGAACCACGTCGGCTCCTTCGAGTGCCGCCTGTGCTTGACAGTGCACCAGAACGACGGGTCGTACCTCGCGCACACGCAGGGAAAGAAGCACCAGACGAACCTGGCGCGGCGCGCGGCGCGCGAGCAGAAGGAGGGCAAGCAGAACATCGACCCGGCGACGGGCCTCCCCGTCGGCGTCGTCGGCGCCGGTTTCGGCGCCATGGCGCGCAAGAACCTCATCAAGATCGGCCGTCCCGGGTACAAGATCACCAAAGTCCGCGACCCCGTCACCCGCCAGCAGGGCCTGCTGTTCCAGCTGCAGTACCCCGACATCAGCCCGGACGTCGAGCCAAAGTGGCAGGTGATGAACGCCTTCACGCAGCGCGTCGAGGAGCCCGACAAGAACTTCCAGTACCTCCTCGTCGCCGCCGAGCCGTACGAGACGTGCGGATTCAAGATCCCCGCCCGCGAGCTCGACAAGCGCGAGGACAAGCAGTTCAGCTTCTGGGACCCGGATTCCAAGGAGTACTGGCTGCAGGTTATGTTCATGTCGGAGCGTGAGGAGAGGTACGTTGCCGCGCCTGGTTTGAGCACGCGCAGGTGAGAAGGCGTGGGCGGGGTAAGACGATTAGAGATTTGTATGAGTATATAGGCTGTGGTGCCGTGGCGAGATGGGTAATGGCCTATTAGCAGTGACTTGCCGGCGAAGATGGCTCTGCCGCTGGATGATTGAGGAAGCTACATAATCTCGCCAACCGATGTATCTCTTTCAGTTGGATGGACTCTTCGGGGCTTTGAACCAGCGAGCAATCTCGAGGCACCACCCCACGCACCGCATGGCAAAAAGGCAGACATGCAAAAAAGGTTACGGCGTTTGGCGCAGGACATGGAAACGTAAGCTCTTCAACCCTTGGAGGGAAACGAACTGAGCTGACTTGACAAGTGACAAGTACAAAAGTTACACATAACGATTAGAATGCCAATATAGTTTTGACTTTGGTCTCAAAATGCAATTAATTTGACTGCATTTTATCGCCCAAACTGTAGACAGTCCTCGTGTCTCCTGAATTTTACGTCTACATCTATGACATGCGGATCCAGTATTGACTACTAGATCCCTCCAACGCCTTTGACGACCACTGCTGCTATTCTTCCGCCGCTCTTTCATGCTTCTCGTGAGAATACCAAGAACCTCTAAGCATCCAATCCACAGCCTCAAAACAGTGCCTCCGAGGCAACAACCCAGTCTGCCTCCTGTCTACATAGCCACGTGTGCGATTTTGTGTCTCGGTGCGAGTCAACGCCCTTAATGCAGTGGATGGTGAAAACAAAGAAAAGGAAAAATGCAAGTCTTGGTAACATGAATCTGGATTATCGGTTGGCCACAGGCAAAATCGACTACAAAGAGCAGGCATGCCCAGAACGCATGGCAAGCCTCCTCGCATGTACTCGTACGAAAGCGACCCCAAGCATCGTACCGCTTATGCAAAGCCACCAGCACAACGCGCAAACGGGTCTCAGCGGAAGTTGTTGTCGAACCGCTTGAAGGTGTATCCAATGAAGGGCAAGCTCATCTCGGGCGACTCCTCGACTTGAGGAACGCCTGAACGGGCCTGCTGGATGGCCTGGGCCTTGAGCACGGTGGCGTTGTCGGTCTGGTCAATCTCGTCGGTCGGGAAGTAAGTGGTATCAATGGCGGAAGTCAGGCGAGGCTCGAACGGTGCTCTGATGCGGCGCAAGCTGTCGAACTCGACGCCCCGGAAGAACGAGTGGGCCTTGATCTCGTGCGCACCTCCACGACCAAGACGGTTCTCGGTGTTGCAAATCAGGCTGCCTTCGTCAGTACATGTTTATTTTCTCGTCGAAATTGCAGGAGCTTACCTTCGGATCAAGTTCTCAGCCTCGACGCCAAGCTGAATGTCGTCGGGGAAGTACAGGGTCTGTCGCCAGTTGACAATCTTCCTGTAGGTGTCATGGCTGTCCTCAGCGCAGAAAGGAGGCCATCCGACCAAGCACTCGAACATGATGGTACCCAGCGACCACCAATCGCAGTCAAACGTGTAGCCGTGGCCGGTGAAGATCTCCGGTGCAATGTAGTCAGGGGTACCGACAGTAGAGTAAGCCATCAGTCTTCTCGACCGGCGCCAGTCGTTGATCTGAGAGCGGTTGCTGACCGTCAGGTTAATCTGGTCAATGGCAACAGAGTTACGATCTCGTGGCTTGTTGGACCGGCCTTGGAGCAATTGTTGGTAGTAGTTGTTGTCATGCAGGCGGTTGAAGCCGGTGGAAAGGCCGAAATCGGTCAGCTTGACGTGACCGCCGCGGTCGAGCAAAATGTTGTCGGGCTTGATGTCACTGCAGATTGGTGTTAGCCAAAGTCTTCCCCCCCACAGCGCTTGTGAGCTGCCTGCAAACTTACCGATGAATGAAGCCCAGCTTGTGGACCGCCTCAATCGCAAGCACAATCTCTGCAATATAAAATCGGGTAATGTCCTCGGAGAAGATTTCATACTTGATAAGCATGGTCATCAAGTCACCACCGGGCAAGAACTCCATAAGCATGTAGAGGAAGTAGGAATCCTGGAACGTTGTGAAGAGCTTAACAACCCACGGACTGTCGGATTCTGCCAGAATATCACGCTCAGAGCGAACGTGAGCGAGCTGGTCCTTCTTGAACATCTCCGTCTTGATCAGGGACTTCATGGCGTAGACCTTGCCGTCGGCCTTCTTCTGGACCAGCTTAACCTCACCAAAGGCACCCTTTCCAATAATCTTGATGGTGTTGTAGTTCTCGGGCTTGTCCTTTGTTCGCAGGAATCGCAGGTATTGTCCTTCTTTGCGGCCTGCAGTAGACCAGATCTGCTCGCGTCTTGACTGGCTCTGGTTGGGCTCGGAGAGCTTGGCCTCCATTTCGCTTTGTCTGCGCGCATAACCCAGTTAGCAGGCGGTCATGACTGATAGTAATTATATGTATCCACAGTCGGTCACATACCTTTGGTTCCTTTCACGGGCACGCTTCACACTGTCCTTGAAGAAGTCGGAAGCCAGCTGGGTACACTTCTTCTGGTTGTTGTTGGCATTGACGCCGTACTTCTCGTAGTTGCGCTCAGGGGCCGGGGCAAAGGCATCGACAGGTGTTATCTGCTGGGTAGGGAGAGGGGGAGTCGCATAGTGGCCGTATCCGGAGGGAGTCTGGCCGGGAGCACCAGCAGTACGGGGCCGCTGGCCGGGAGAGGGACCGCGGGAACCATAGGGCGATGCGCGGGCAGCGCCGCCTAGGTTCTGATGGGAGAATTGGTGGGCGAGGCCGACATTCGGGTCGTTGGTTCCCGGGGTGTTGGATCGGGGCTGGTAGGCAGCATTGTAGTCGCCGTGGGCCTGAGGAGGATACTGACCCTGCTGCTGGTTGGGCAGAAAGTAGCCCGAGGGAGCATAACCGGTCGCGTAGGGCTGCTGCTGCTGCGGCTGCTGAGCCGGGTGCTGCTGAGGGTGCTGCATGCCGGCGTGTTGCTGCTGCTGCTGGTGATGCTGCTGCTGCTGCTGGCCTTGGTGAGGGAACACAGGCTGGGGAAAGGTGGAGGGTGTGGTTGGGTATTGGCGGTCGCTGCCGGGAGCCAGACGATCGTTGTTCCCGATGTTGAGATAGAGACGGTTATTATTGCTATCCATTGTACGTTTCGTCTTGACTCGGGGGGGCTAGGTGGTGTGCGGGTAGGGGTTGCTCGGGCTGTGCAGTGACTAGCAAAAGTGGCAGTTTAATTGACAGCGCTGTGGGCAGGCGGCAGGTGGAGGATCTCAGCGACTAAACGGCGGGGAAGGCAGCTAAGGCGACGAGATAGGTTGCAGCCTCGGGAGCCCAGGGTCAAGGCGGGAGGTTGGCGGTATTGGGCTGGTGGCCCGGGGCGGAAGTTCGAAGAGGCAGATTGCGGTGGGCGGGTGGATGAGATGGTAGGTTCAGAACCCGCTGGTGCTAAAATAAGAGTAAGTGCGAGCCCTAGTCAATGGGTTGGGATGAGAGGGGATAGGATGGGGGCGACTGGTAAAGGGAGCGTGGCACGGAGGGCAATGGAAGGCGTGGAGATGTGAGAGTGGTATACCTTTGGGAGCCTTTGGGGCAACTTCTCCGAGTAGTGAAAAGAAGAAGGGCTGGAATATCCTCACTAACGAAAGGGGAGGGGGAATATGGCGATACGGCGCAAAGGTGGCGGTGGATTTGAGGGGGGTGGGTGTGTGTAAAGGCACCAGGCTCTAAAGGGGGGGGAGAATGTCGTTATTTTTTCCCCTCGTTTCGGCCACTCTCTTCTTTGGCTTCTGTTCCTGTGTTGCCGACTCGAGAATGGTGACGGCTGAACAAAGCTAGGATACCTTGGGTAGCTAGCTTTGGTAGTCGGAATTTGAAGCAACGGAATAAGGCACCTGCAAGCGGAGGAGAAGGACTCTCTGGGTGGGGGGGAAGAAGAGGTGAGGCACAGAGGAAGAAGGGGAGAAGTTGAAGTCACGAGACCGAATGGTGGAGGAGCTGGAGCTGGAGGGGAGAAGGGGGGGTGGTAGGGAAGGGTACCAGCAGGTAGGCGTCGATCCCAGCAAACAAGCACAAGCTACGCGTGGCACACGCCGTAGACGGAGGGCAAGGGGCGGAAAGCTTTCCTGTGTCGAGTTGAGTGGGATGGATTAAACCAGCCAGACCTGACCTCGGAGAAGGGGGGTAAATCGAGTCTGTGTCTGTGTGAGGCGACTTGGCAGACAATAATTAGAGGTGGGAGTTTAAGGTGAGGAAGAGGAGAAAGTCGGTAGTGGAGCGTGGTGCAGCTTTAGCGTGCAGATTGCAGCAAAGAGCGGACAATAAGCAGAAGCAGAAGAAGCAATGGGAGTAAGAAGCATAATTTAGTAGTACAGTCCTCCGTACTACCAGCTTTATCTCAGTATCTATCTAACTTAAGGCATGTGTCTGTGTCTGTATGTATATATGTGTGGTTGTGCCTCCAGAGTGCGTCTCCAGAGGATACGATACGGATAGACAGGAGGCATAACCTAGGAGGGACTTTGGGACAGCAATTGGGTTTACAGTGTCAGATTTCAGTGCCAGACACGCCCCTCTCTCTCCAAAAGCCCTGGCCTGGAAGGGGGGGAAAAGGGGAGCGGGTCAAAAGACACACTTTCAGGGACTCGTCGCTTCAGGAGACCCGAACAGTGACTGGGCCTTGCTGGACCCCAACTACCCCTGAGATGGGTATGATTGACGGATTATGATTGGCTAATGCTGGCGGTGTGGGGTCTCAGCAGCTTGCATTTCCTCCGCTGCACTCTTTCCTCCACTTTGCTTGATGCCCATGAAGAATTATTACCAAGACACTTTTTCAGTACCAGGTGTTATATTATTTTATATTTTATTAATTTGTTTTATTTTTTTTCTCCTTTTTTTCCTTATTCTGTTTTCTGCCTCGAACGCTCCATCCGCCTTGTACTGCAACCACGATGGAGTAGTTTCCCTTTCTTACTTCCTGTCTCAGAAACTCCTACCTTCCTGCAACTGCACCGTCATCGTTGTTTGTTGTCTAAATTGGTTCCACATCTTTGCGGGGCAGGAAGGAGAGGCGGGGGCTAAAAAGGCTGAGGTGAAGGTGCCTTCCAGCTGTAGGTATGCCTGTTGGAGGGGGACGGGACGCAGTTGCTTCAATTCTTTTAGCCGACCACCTCCTTCTGCCTCCTGTGCCTGCTAGTGGCTTCACCCCCTTCACCGACTCTTCCACCTGAGCCACAGCAACTGTACCGCTGACCTCACCTTGGCTTTTTTGCACCTGTTTTTTTTTTTTTACATTATCGTTATTTTCATTTTTGGTATCCATATCTTGCAAATGAGCCTTTACAACTAACTAGTGTATCTTCCATCCGTCCGTATTCCAGCCGCGACTAAACAAACTAGTTCAACCTAACCTCAACCTTTGACCCATCATCCACCGGGCTCACCTAGCCCTGACGCTGGTGCATTATCTGCCGGTGCAGCCAACATGTTCGCCAGTGTCTTTTTTATCTCTACTATCCGATTTGTGCGATGCCGTCTCGGCATCTTGCCGAATCCTAGTCTTCTCTGCCACAGCCAGCCTTTCCGGCCCAGCTTCAGGCCAGTGTAAACAACCCTGACCTCCTTTGGTTTCTTATCTCCAAATGGGCTTTGACGTTTCCGGTCGCCGCATCCTTCCCTGCCCGGCCCCCTAACCATGGCTATCCCTCTCCAGTTCGTCTCTCTCCATGTTGCATTTCCTTGCGAGACCCTGTCTCTTTGACCTCCGCTGCTTGGAGGGGAGGGCCCGGAGTGGGTGTCTTTTTACTCGACCCGTCGCATAACTCCGTCATCCCATGCCGCTGTCCGCTTCCTTCTAGTTTATTCTACTGTGTCACGGCACCGGCAGCCTGGCTCTACCCAGCAAAAAGACCTCGCAATCAATGGGTGGCTCCTCTCAGAGTACATAGCAATTCCCGTGCTGCGCATGCCATGCTTCTTCGTACGATCCCGTTACACCCGCCACCACACAACCTTATCGTAGCACATGGCAGCGTTGCACTCTCGCTACTAACTCCCGCTGCTCGACATGGCTTCAGTCTGGTCGCGGGACTTTGTTCACCGCCGCCGAGTGCTCGCCTGCGTTTCAGCTAGCGGTATCTGCCACTTTGGGCCTCGGCTTAAAGATCACGACCCTCGTACAGACATGGTGTAGACGAATCCAGTCAACCTCGTGTAGGAGAGCATTTCCAGACAAGAAGAACCAGGAGGCTGAACACTGCCACACAATGCTTCAGTGAGCTTACGAAAACGCTGCAGTTGGCGATCGCGGTAGGCTCAAGTGACGCCCTGTGCCTGTATCAGAATCGCATAGGAGATCCACGGACGGCTCCAGTCTTGGTGCTCGTCATCGCCCAATAGCATCTCCACAAACTGTCTCTCCGCAATGCACCCTCCTGCCATCGCGACTTTCTGTCTGTCGTTCTGCAGATGTGATCTATCATGTATCTCCGATCTGCTGCCGTCTCTGGGATCCGTCTCCTTTCAAGCTAAAAAGCACCTCCCGCGTGGATCTCGGGAGAGGGAGGGGACTCATGGAAACCTCCCGGTCCTGGACTGGCGTGCTTCAGCCTTTCGGGGCTTTCAGAGGCGGGCATTGTTTTTCAGACGGGATGCCGCGTTCACGCCCAAGCTGAACCGGACTTCCCTGTCAATTGACTTCTGCAGCTTTGAAGAGGTCAAAGTCTAGCAAGACTTGAGTGACAGCTGAAGGTCCGGCTAAAGCACGGACAATCTACCCTATATAGAAGGCGGTGAACCACAAAAATACCCCTTACCCTTTTGGGACGGATAGTTCCGATAATTCGGCGAAGCTCTTATCGCAACTAAAATTTCCAAAAACCTCAATCCCGATCTTGTCGAGGTAGACGTTTCGTGCCATTACGAACGGCTCCTTTACGTCCGGAAATCCTGCTTTATACGCAGTGAAACCCTGCAATTCTCCTTCAATAGTTGATATTCTTATCGAATAGCCCAACATGGCGGACGCAAAGCCGCCCACGCCGCCCGAGGTAACTATCCATCACCACATGTCAAAACGGCTGCATCAACAATAACTGACCCCATTCACCAGGCTCCCGCCCCTGCGGCGCCGACTCCTACCCCATCCACGACAACTACACAACCTTCCGCCGCCGCTTCCGCTGCCGAAGCCTACAAGGCCCCGAAACCGAACCCGGTCTGGCAGATGATGGGCCTCCGCGGGCCCCCCAAGCGCCTGCCCTCGCGCAACTGGATGATCTTCCTCTCCATCACCGCCGCCTTCTCCGCCGCCATCATCTATGACAAGCGCGAGAAGAAGCGCGCAACCGCCCGCTGGGCCCGCGCCGTCGCCCCTCTGGCCAAGGAACCCGTCACGAACCCGTCCCAGATGCCCCGGAAGCTCACCGTGCTTATCGAGGCGCCTCCCGGCGACGGCCTTCGCGTTGCGCAGGACCACTTCCTCGAATACATCAAGCCCATTCTCGCCGCCTCCGGCCTGGACTGGGAGTTCGTTCAGGGCAGGCAGCAGGGTGACGTCCGCGCGGCCGTCGCGGAGAAGATCCGCCGCAAGAGGTCCCTCGAGGAGAGACCCGACGTCGAGCTACTCCCTACCGAAGAGAACATCCGCGACGCCATCCGCCAGAAGAATGGTGTTGCCGAGTACGACGGCCCCGGCGGCGACCTCGTCATCGGCAGGCACACTTGGAAGGAGTACATCCGCGGCTTGCACGAGGGCTGGCTCGGTCCCCTTGACCCGCCCCCGAAGCCGGAAGAGGCCCCTAAGCCCGACGCTGAAACACCGGCGGAAGGCGGAGAGGGTGAAAAGAAGGAGGAGGAGAAGAAGGAACCCGAGGAAGAGAAGAAACCCGCCCGACCGCCCCAGCCCGTCCCGTACAATACTACAAACGACTATCCCACCGCCCACCTCCCGCTCATGATTCCCTCCGAGTTTTCTCCCTCGCAACCCGTCGACTTCCCCCACCTCCTCGGCTTCGGTGGCACCTTCACCCGTCTTGGCCGCTTCTTCACCCGTCGCCGCCTTGCGGATGATATTGGCCGCGAGGTAGCGGCAGTGTGCTTCGCGCACGCACGCGAGTGGCGTGAGGACCGTTCCGACCTCGAGCAGCCGTACGAGCAGCAGCATGTCCTGGAGAGCGCGGAGCGTGACTGGGTCAAGAGCGCATGGAAGACCCCCGACCAGGCGCGGGATGACGAGGAGCGCGCGGAGCTGTCGACGGAGCGCATCTGGACCTCGCCCATCGTCATCGACCCGCGCATCGGCACCCGCATGCGCCGTTTCGAGATCAGACCCGAGGATGAGGAGCGCGCCAGACAGATCGAGGTTCCTGAGACCGAGGTTGAGGGCTGGATCAAGGGAAGCCTGAGGTCCCTGGGACGTTGGAGTTGGGAGCTCGTCAAGGGAGAGGAGCGCAAGGGCCCCAACGTGGGTAATGTTGACGAGGAGTAATTCATGTTTGGTTGGATATTTTAAAAGTTGTTGCAAAAAGCATGTAAGGCGGAGAGATGGACGAGAACGATTGTACTACTATCCCGCTGTCGCCGGGGGATGCGGCGGCCGGGGGCCATATTTTTGTAATTCTAGCTTTGCTTTACCTGCATGGATAGGCGTGGGAGGCAAATAGACAGGATCGGCTAGCCATCAGCCTCCGCTTGATACGAATTCCACTGTACACTCCTCTTTGATCACTTTCTTGTTTGTCGTCGTAGTAACTAGGACCTCGTGACAATAGTATGACAGCTGTAGCAGCTCAAACCAAGTCCATCTTACCTCGACTAACTCAACATCCATTGTGTGTTACGATGCTCTCTCTCAATCATCATCATCCGAATCAGAGCCATACGCAACGAGTCCCGTCTTGGGCTTCGCAGCCACACCCCCTTCCGAAGCTTTCCTCTCACCAACATCCGCCACCTTCACCTCGCCAACCTTCTTCTCACTGTCCTTCACCTCGGCCTTCTCCTCGTCCTTCGCAGCAGCACTCTTCTTGACCTCCTGCTCCCCCGACTTCTCCCTCTTAACGCCCAACCCCTTCGTCTCCTTCCTCCTCCGTTTCCTCGGTCCAACAGCCCACTCCTCATCACCCCCTTCCACGGCCGCCCCAGCACCACCTTCATCGCCACCATCCTCCCCCTCCACAGGCCGCTTCTGGTTCTGTGCCTTTCGGAACGCAGCAAGCCCTTCTTCCGTCTCCCTCCGCACCCTCTCCTCCGCCGCGCGCGCAGACTCCCTCACCTCGTCCAGAAAGTCAATCTCATCGTCGTCCAAGGGACGAAACTGGTTCTTGATTTTATTCGCCTCTTCAAAAGCAGCTTGTTTCGCGGCTACAAAAGCCGTCAGTCACTCGCATGAAACTTCAGAACTTATGGAGAATGGAAGAAGAAGAAGAAGAAGACACGGAGGGGGGAAAATACCTTTGTTAGCCTGCAATATGTCATACAGACTCTGTTCGCCCCCTTCAACGGCCTTGACACGCGCGTCCTCCCTCCTCTTCCTCTCGGCCTCGAGTTCCTTCTGCACGGCCTCCCACTCCGTGTTCTTCCTCGTCTCGCCTGCGTCGCCGGCTTTCGGCTCCGTCGCGGCCACGGCCTCGCCTGTCTCGGCGTTGATGGCGCCTGCTGAGACGAACCGTGACATTTTGTCCCTTTTTCACTTGCCTCTCTGAATTTATTTCTTCTGGAAGAAATAAGGCGGCTGGGTGGGGTGTTTCTTGACGTCGAGAAACCAGAACGTATAAGCTTGAAACCGTGGCCGAGATGAAGTACGCAGGTTAAGCAGGACTCGAACGCGTGCGTTTGGATTGATGACGAGGTTACCCGTGAAGAAGACTGATATTTTTATTTTATTTTATTTTTCCAACTCTTTAATATGTGAAAAAAAAAAAAATGTAAATCTCTCGTTATGTACTGGGACTCGATTGAGAGGCGTCGCTGGAAAAGGATGATGAGAACGGCAAGAGTTCGGTGAGTGAGCGAGCGATGCACGCACGACATTGTCAAAATTGACGAATCACAACGGCCCAAAATGCCATACACCACCAGCACATGGTATTCCAAAAGCTCTCCACTTTCAACCCACGGCTCGTTTGTTCCTGCCTCCCGATTGCCACTCATATACTCGCAAAAACGATCATATCACTACTGAGCGTCGTCACACGGCTTAAAAATTAATGTAGCGCTTCAACTATTTTGTGTATTTCTGTTTGTCTAAGACTGCTCGTTCAATACTTTCGCTAGGGTCGCGCCCTCAGTCACTGCCTCTTTGCATTGACTTGTCCATGCTACTTTTCCTTTCCTTTCCAATCTCATCCGTCCCACAGTTATCCATATCCAAACCCCTTTTGATGTCAACAGGTCGTGACCTGCCGTGAGGGCAAGACCATGTTACCAGTCCCAGTAGCTTGTGTTTTCATATTGTTTCACAGTCTCAAATCACTGTAGAAGAAACAACCAATCCGCGGCGGTCCTTCTGAGAACAAGCCCGCATTATCTGCTGCCCTCCTGATAATTCATACTCCATAGCCATACCGCTCTCTAGTGAATGCCAATAATGACCAGAAGAGAAAGAAGAAAACAATAGGAGACGTCTAAAAATGTCATAAAAGAGAACGATGGGGTTTGACTGGGAAGCCACCAGTATTTCCTCTCGCCTGTTCATAAGCGAGGTCGTGACGGACTTCGCAAGCCACCCATCTGAAGAATGCCAAATAACAAAGTAAAAGAGAAAATAAAAGAAAACTCCAAAAAAAATCCTAACAAGGAGAGGGGTTTTAACCCCCCGTTTTGACCTGCGAGCGCAATGCAGAACACCTCTCCATGTGAGTCCCATTTTTTTTCATTCTTGCGAAACAAACAGAAGTCCGCGCAAAGCCAATGAGAAGAATAAAACATGATCCATATGTACCCTCCATTTCATGCAGCTCTTTTGCATTGGCGTGCCGACGCCAGAGATATCAAGCGTAGCCCGATGCCACCTCTAATGGAATTGGCTCGAGCCGACCGATTGCATGATACCATTTCCCATCTCGGGAAAGAAAACCGGACATGTACCGGCAAAGGGTTGAATTACAACAAAACAGCCATGATCCCGCGGCAACCCACAAAGGAAATAATGGGAGCAGGCGAAAGAAGATTGTCCGTGCTTCGCAGGTCCATCCCTACATATACCGGGAGACGCTACAGGTGTGGAGGCAAGGTGATAGTAAACATCCTCCTGCTGGCAGCACATCAGGTTGGTAGAAATCGAGTGTTGTCGGTGGCGATCGTACGTCGAAGGGGCGTCGAAAAAAGCGAATACAGATCGTCGAAAAGACCACCTACTACCGCACCAACACAAAAGAACCACAATATCTATCGTCCAACTCCAGGGGAATCGCAAAGGTAAACCGTTAAACGCCGGTAGTGAATTTTATCCGTATACCAAGGGGGTAAAAAAAGAATTAAAGAAATATGTCATTAGGGGTAGGACGCGCTGAACCATAAACTTCCGCCACTGACACATCAAGGACCAGATACTTCTTAGTCCCCTGGCGATTAATGTGTGCGGTAGGTCGGATGCATCGAAGCGGCTCCGTACCCGTATCGTGATGGTCGAAAGCCGACGTGGGGACCACCCGGTCAAATAACCGCTTCTTTCGGTTTCTCGTCGTGAGGGTATCTGAAGAATGCAAATGTATCGTCATGCCGAAAAAAAAAAAAAAAAGCCTGCGTCTCCGATGACGCTGGGCCTCCCAAACTTTTCCGATAACAAAATTCCTGCCAATTTCAAAGGCGAAAACGCCCGTAGGTGTCGCTGCAACCTCAGCCCATAACAGGCTGGCCAAAACCAGGGTGGGCAAAGTAGGCGGGCGGCTTCACAGCCGGGCCAACGCAGCTTGCACAGTTGCACTCAGCAACGCCATGCTCCCACATGGTCTGGTTGTAGCCATAGTGGCCAGGGTATGTGGCTTGGTTGTGGCGGTGATTGTAGTAGTTGTGCGAGGGCTGCTGGTAACGGCCATTCCATTGAGCGTTGGCAGCAGCTTGGGAGAACCACTCATTGTAGCGGGCGTTGGCTGAGGTAGCCGAGTTGATGTACTCGGGAGTCCCGTAGCCCGAGTCGGGAGGAGTGAGTGGTGCAGACTGCCACTGCCAGTTGCCGTAGGCCTGCTGGTGAGCCATCTCGTTGCGCTTGATAGCCTCGTAGCGCTCGTATTCAGCTGCCTGCTGCTGAACGAAGTTGTGGTAGGCCGAACGACCATTGTACCTGTTGAGGCTGGTGTCGATGGCAGGGACAAGTCTTTCGCGGTTGGCCCGAGCCGTAGCCTGATCCTTGAGGATCTTCCAGTCATCCCAGCTGGTGAGCCAAGCCTTGTAGTCCGCGCTGTAGTCCAAGTTGACGTAGAGACGCCATCCAGATTGCTCCAGCCACTCATGTTCCAGAGCGTTGAGCTCGGCGACGGGAATACCGCTCACCTCAGACCAGGAACGGTTCTGGAAAGTGTTGTCATCCAAGAACTTGCTGCCAAGCAACAGGGAAACCGTCAGCATACGCCAAACTTGACCCTCTGGTACGGTGTACGAAGGGTTGTTCTGCTTGAGCGTGTTGACTCGCTTCGCCAGGTAGTTCATACCCAAGAGAATGGTGCTCTTGGGAAGTCTTGTTGAAGACAGAATCTGGGAAACAAACTTGCGGAACGGCGGTGTGACGGCGGTGCTTGACAGAGGCAGAACAACGCGGGTAGCCATCTCAGCTACGAATTCGGCCATTTGGTCGACTTCGTAGTCAAGGACGGCACAGACACCTCCAGGCATGATTGCGGTGTTGAGAGGGTGGGACCGACGAAGATCTAAATGTGATCTCTGTCGGAAGAAGAGATTGCTCAAGGCGTCGGGAGAGGAGACACTTAACGGCACGGGGCAAAACCGCAGCGTAGTACCGGTGATGTCCAAAGCCGGAGGGTCGGGTGTCGTGTCGGTGGGGGGGTTGGAGGAGGTAACACTGTCCCTTAGTAACTGCAAATAGCCATCAAGGGTTGCGTGCCGTGCAGCTTCGGGAATGAACGTTGGGTGATAGCGGCGGAAAAGGAAATAGGTGATTCGTGGTTCGGCGGTCGGTGGACGGCTCGAAGGTCCAGGAAGAATAAGTATTCTTCGTGGGATGAATACCGTAGATGTCTGGCTCGAAAATGAATGCTCAAACGGAAGAGTCGTCAAGCGTTACAAGAAAAATCCAGGGCCACAAGACACCGGATGAAGAAAGTCGGGCCGTAGGAGAAAAGAAAGCCGCAATACTGTCTGGTTCGATTAAAAGTCAGCAAGAGCGCCTAGAGAGCAGGAAAACTTTGACTGTCTGTGCCTGAGTCTGATACACAAGCTTCGTCGAATAATGCGTCATGTATTGGCGGGCCGGTATTGGAGTGTTGGGAGAAAAGTTGGTAGTAGCTCCAGCGCAGGATACCCCCTGTGGGAAGCAAATGCAACTGATTGCATAAAACCCAGTAGAATGGTATCAGGGCAAGTATTGAGCCCAGCACTTGTTCTGGCGTTTGATCGGAGGCGTGGATTTGCGGGTAGGCGAATGAGCGGTCGGTTTATAACCCAGATTATAGTAATCCGAGGTACCGCGACCAGTGCCAAATCAACCAGTCCGCAATGCATGCGTCGCGAGATCTTGATTAAAAGTCGGGCATTGATCAAATAGGACGAAGCTCGCGTACCAGACTCTCGGCGACATAAAGGCGTAAAATCGGGACAACAGGCTGCTTACCTTGTAAGAAGGGAAACGTCAGACGGTTTCGCGATGCCGAAAGGACGGTGTTTCTCGGTTATGTTCGGAGGATAGAGCACACGGAGATGATCGTGTTCTGATAGCTCAACAGCAGAACCGACAGAGCGTTCGACCGTCGTGTCTTTAGTTGGTATAAGCAACTAGATGTCGGTCCGGCGAGTGCTCGCGAGAGGAAAATGAGATGATAGAACCTGAATCCTGGGTGTCGACGACTCGAAAGGGGAGGGAATTCGTGAAGAGTCGAGGACGGTGAATTTCGTCGTGATACGGCGGATTCGAAGGTTTGGATTTGGGGAGGAAAGGGTTGGGGGGAGGGGGATGAGGGAAAGAAAAAAGACGGGAGGAAGAAATTCGAGGAGTGAAATGGATGGGACGGGTCGGGTTGGGATGGAGGTGATGGAGATGGGGGAGGATGTGGATGGGGGTGAGGATGGTAGAAGAGTGGAGCGAGGAATGATGGCGGCATGCGTATGAATGGAGGCGAGAGGGCGAAGTTGGTAGGGTACGGGGATGGGTACAGTGAGAGGTACAGCGGTACAGCCCAGCAGTATCCGAAGGAAAGCAGGTTACAGAGTAGGCAAAGTAGGGTGGGTGGTAAGTTAGCACGGTCAGGAGGGTTGGCATGGTAGGTACCTGGACCAGCAACTGAGGGTGGGGGACAAGGTACCTCGGGCTTGTACCGGGCCAGACAAGGTAGGAGACTGAGAGGGCTGTCTTGTCGAGTGGATTTCTAGCACCTAACGTAGGTAGTTTACACAGCGGACGGGGAGACAAAAAAAAAAAAAAAAAAAAACTCGGAGTCTCGCGCTGCATGTACTTTTTTAGTGCCCTGAAGGGGTGGGTGCCGCTGTGCAGGATCTCCACGGGTTACTTGTGTCCATGTATGGCCTTTGGTACGCATCTAAGGTATCTGGGAACGTGCCGGCAAAGGCGACAATGGCAGAGAAAGTTGGGAATGGGTGGGGAAGGGAGCTGGTCGAAGGTACTTGTGACAGGTACATTCCCACGGAGCCTTGAACATTTGAACTACTATTGGCGCTGCACTGGAAACTGAAAGTGAGTGGTGGCAGGCCCCGGCTCACTTTGGTGGTAGGTACCGGCTAGGCTGTCACTGTAGACGACAGAAAAGAAGTACGAAAAACCCCCCCCAAAAAAAAACAGCTGGTGGGTCCCTCTTTTGCCCTGGGCCGAATGTGGAGTCGACAGGGTGACTGGTTCCCCCCCGATGAACCACCACGCTAAAAGAAGGCACGGAGATACCTGGTTTCTCAAAGGCGAAGGAGCAGACAGGAACAGGATACGTACCGCATCCGCAACCCCGTTTTAGGCCAGAGGGCGGATGATTGAGGACGATGTGGGTTCCAGCGTCCAGACTGGATGTCAAAGAAGGGAAGGGGCACTATTGACGACTCCACACCCCGACACCGCTGGAAACTGGGACATTAGAAAATCGGCACTCATTGGCTCCTGGCAAATGGTGGCCCCAAGTTCTCGTCGAGCGTGTACGTATGTGTACGTCGTTTATGTATTCGTGGATGGGGGATATGGATGGGGGGTGGGCAGGAGCATTGAACCGAATGGGGTGGAAGGACCGTCAACCTCCAGGCTCATATGCACAGTTGCAGTTTCCTTTGCTCTTGTTATTGCTGCATACGAAGGGGGTGGACACTCTCAGTCAGTCAGTGTGCGAGGCCAAAGGGGGAAAGGGAGGAGAGGAGCGCGACAGCTGGAGCAGGGCTGGAGCAGGAGCCACTTCTACGGAGGGGAGGAAGGCGCAGGTGATGAGAAAGAAAGGCAAGGAGCACGGAGTACGTGCATCATAGTAGAAAGCGAGGGAAGTCAGGCAGGAAGGGGAAGCAGGAGGCAGCGACAAGGGGTGAGGGCACATGCAGCACCAGCTGCTGCTGCTGCAAAGCACCCACAGACGATAGGTGCGCTCCTGGCGGTGCTTGCTGCTGCTTGGTGGATCAAGAGAAGGCCCAGGGCTCTTCCTGCCCTTCCTTTCTTTGCCTTCCCTGTCTGTTGCTCCTTGAATGAAAGCGCTACGAGGGGGACCTGCCGTGCTGGCTCACTCAAGGGCTAGGGTGTGGATTGTTTTTGGATGGGTGTCGACTGAGTAAAAGTCACGCTAAAACGCGACCACGACCAAAAAGAAAGGGAAAAAAAAAAAAAAACCCCTCTCCGGCGATGTACTGGAGAATCAGTATCAACACAGCCAGAGTGACAGCAACTCACCAGGCTACGTATCCATATTCATCCGCGACAAAGATTTCTTCCTGAATGCCACGGCCGAAAAGTTGGGTACTGGACATCGGGCAGTGGGTGATAGGAGGTACGCATCTCCACGTCGCCCCAGATGAAAGAGGGAAAAGCAATGCTGACAAAAGTCTGCAGCACGGAGTACGGATACGCGACAACAAACCTCAAATTCGAATCTTCACGGTTTGCCTACGTATTCGTCTTGACTTGCAGCCCTCTCCTCCACCATAAACTGACCACACACCCTGGGGCGTAATTGCTATGGCACCCGCGAAAAGCCAGCAAGTCATCCGGCCCTCGACAGAGGGCGAGAAGCAAAGAAAAAAAAACTAGAAAAAAAAAAACTCGTTAATGGCGGTTCGGGCTTTAGCGTACCTTGGTAATGGGATGACCCTGTCTCCCGAGGCTTCTAGATGTACAGGCGAGTATTAGACTAGCCTTGTGCAATTTGTGCCAGTTGCCTGTACCTTGCATGCGGGCCAGGGAGGTTGGGTTGTCGCGGGTAGAACAGGTATTCAACTGATCCGGGGCACCGAGGCAACATGTCTGGTACATTTTCATCCCTCTTTTGCTCTGCGGTCTGCTTGACCGCCTGCCACTAACGAATCCACGCTGCATAGGGACGCATTTCCTTACACATCTCAGGACAAGGGGCGTGCCAGGCACCCCCGGTCCAGGCCAGAACTGGACAGCGGTCATCGGCAAATGCAACACACTTCGCGCCCTGCCCTCGCCTCACACACATTCAATACATACACCAGTGACCGCTGAGGAGGTTGAACACACAGGCGCAAGTCCCCATCCCCTCACAGGCTGGACCTCCTTCTGGGCTCTGCGTCGCAATCAACCGTCCCCCGTCCCCTTGTTTATTTCGGGGCTCGGCGAATGGCAGCTCAGGGCTTGTCGCCCGCTTCCTGCAATTACAAAGCTGCAAAGGGCAAGGGACAATCTGTGCCAGTGGACTGTGCTCATCATCCGATCTGCTGGGTGATCGCTGCGGCCCAAGTCGAGCCCTGTTACCCAACTCCCAGACTATGACGACGGAATGCACCCAGTTAGCATCCACTCACCGTCACCCCTACCGCCGTTGTGCGTCTCCCCTACGGATACCTGGTGCCCTGAGGCGCTGAGCTTGGCCCATTAGATTTGCTCAGCATTTGCCTCACCTTCCGTCTGTTACTGTTGCTTTCGCCTGATAGACCAGAATGACATAGACGGATGATCACTGCAGACTTCGACCTGCCCACCGAATCAGCCACGGTTTGCACCGGTGCGTCCGGGCTTTGTGATGGGCTACCGAAACTGTCAAACGCGGCGGCACCTAGGAAAGGAGCATCAGTTCCGCCCCATTGAGTCGCTCAACGTCTTAGCGAACATTTACAGGCCGGCCTCCTCCAGGCTACAGGATACAGCCACTGATCACAAATACGATACGTCAGTGTGCTCCGTTTTGCCTCATTAAAACGAGGCAGCGCCTCATCACCGTCCTGAAAGTGCGGGCGACCCTGCTCATCATTCACTCTTCAGGGCCCCAGAGAATGTGGCTGCCAATGCCAGCTAGGCCACTTCGGGCTTGGCCGGCAAAAGGAAGAGCACAGCGCAACAAATACAACACAAAATCCAATCTTAGAATTTTATTACGGCAAAACATGGAGGCTTCATTCCTGCTCGTTGTCACCCTCGGATAAAGTAAAATAATAACATGATGTATGACGAAGCCTAGCCAAACGCGGCATTTTGGCACATCTTGTTGTTCCCGCAGCAG